CATTGGAAAGACAAAAACTAAAATCGCCCCACTTAGTGGAGAATGGGTGTAATCGATAAATTTTGATTACGTAATGTAATTAAGAGGTTAAAATTACATTTGGTCGAATGACTACATAACTATGATCGTTTGTGGCTGCACCAAGGAGGTTGAAGTAGTGTAAAATAACTGTCCACCTGAAAGGGTACGTAAGATCACATCATACAAAGTATGCTTCTCGTTGCCAGGGTTTTGATTGCAGAATTCTTGTTATTATTAGTTTGGATAAATTTGATGATAATCGCCAAAAATTGCTAGAGGGATGATGTAAATCCTACTGGGGTACATGCAGGTAGCTAAGGTACTGTAAGTCCCCATGGTCCCTAGTGTGGTGATCTCCCTTTAGCTGATGGCGATCTATAACCCATTTGATATTGTACTGCTACATATGATGATATATAATATAGTTCCATACTAGTTATATAACACTTTCTGTCAGGAACTTGTGAATGATCTCGTGCAGGTGCAAATATAAATGACATATTTCGGTGTCAATAATATTCCTTAATTCATTTCATAACTACAGCAGGGTAAAGTGATAGTTTACAACGAAAACAACATGTCTTTACTTCGCCATACTTGTAGATCGTGTGTTTTCAAAGTTAATTAAATATCAGTAGTTATTTGAAAGGATTAACATTTACATTTTGCCATTTTTCCTTTTAAATGTTCTAATCTGTAAAATTCATCGACATAAAAATGTTTCATTTATATTAGTTTGACAGTTGCTTGAAATTTTGTTCTTTTTCGCAATTACAAAATACCATTAAGTTCCAATACCAAATCTACCCGTGAAGGTCAGGGTTAGAATGAACCTTCAGTAACCCATGCTTGTCGTAAGAGGCGACTAACGGGATCGGGTGGTCAGGCTCGCTGGCTTGTAGACCTTTCCAATAAGTTCTTATCTCCCCTGCTTTATTATACCCCTTGAGAACTCTTTCGCAAGAAGAGATAGAACGGCGCTTGACGTTCACTTCCGGAGATGTTTTTTTGAAAATGAACGGAACGAACACGAAACAGCGACATTACTGCACCGTCTGCTCCAACTATGGAGGAAAGGAGATAGAAGGACGGGTAGTGACACTACATAGATTTCCAGCAAATGAATTATTGAAGAAAGCTTGGATTCGGCGGCTCAAATTGGTGAAAAAAAATTACAAACACAAGACCACCCAACGTCTTTGTTCTGAGCACTTCAGGGATGGACATTTCAGACGGAACTTCATACCATCCATTTTCGGGAGAAAGACGTTCAACACATACCAGGTAAAGTCAACATAAACATTACACACACGTTCTCAATTTTCGTGTTTTCGGACACTTGAGAAACATTCATTTCTCTATATTTTTTTGGTACACTTACAGAATACCGGATACCTACCAGCCATATTGTTTAGTGTGACGTCACCCTAAACCTAAACCTTACCCTAATCCTTAACCCTAACCCTTACCCTAACCCTAACCCTAACCCTAACCAAAAGTAAACTCGTGTGCTTTCAAAGATGGCGGAAGGTATCCGGTATTCTAACCCTAAACCTTACCCTAACCCTAACCCTAACCAAAAGTAAACTCGCGTTCTTTCAAAGATGGCGGAAGGTATCCGGTATTCTGTAATCTTACCATTTTTTTATATAATGTTTAGTGTCAACCTTCGGACAGAGAATATAACTACATGTATTTGGCAATGATCATGACTGATCTGAAAGGAGATTCATCACAATTTTCGGAAAGAGTTCCGCCCGTACCCCCCACCCCCATGAAAAACCAAATTACAAACTAACAGGCATACCTCACCCTAAATATAAATTCAGTGAACTAGAACAGGTATAAAAACAGTCAGTGAACTTATTTCAGTGTTGGAATAATACACCGTGGAAGGACTCCTGGAGCAAATATGTACTAGGTAAAAAAGTGGGGTACATGCGGAACACTTTCCCAATTTTTGGGCTAGTCATGGGAATGGACACCATTCGTAAGGATGTGTGGCTCAGTCATTGTGAACTTTTTATTTATGAAATTTTCAGTTTGAACACGGCTCTGATGAGAGTACCATACCAAGGGAGGCAGCCAAACCAACAGGTGACTGTGGAAACGGGAATGAGCATTCTGTGTCAGACCATCAGCAGATTAATTTGAAGTCCTCGGGATCAAGGGTGGAAGCTTCAGTCGTCATGCATGACTATTGTGGACAGATTGAAGATCATATCACAAGTCAGCTTGTAAACAAGTGTGAACAGACTGATTTTCATCCTGTAGGTATTGATGCATCCACTCAGACAGATATCTTGGATAGTTTCTATATGACTGTTTCAACACAAACATTGAATGATGCTATCGAAATTCCGATATCAAAGCCCAAAATGGTTAGTGTGGAAATTCAGTGTAACAAGCCTGTGCTAACATATGAAGATGTCTCCTGCAGTGAAAAATTCTCATTTTACACAGGAATCCCTAACCCAGGAGTGTTTAAAGCCTTATTTGATGAGATGGATGATGCCATAGAGCATACAACTAGAAGTAAGTATTCAAGTGAATCGGAATTAGGTCGTCCACGCACCTTAAGATTAGTGGATGAGTTTTTCTTAGTTCTCATGAGGCTTAGACTGGGACTATTACTGGAGGATTTGGCAGATAGATTTTGCATTTCAAAATCAACATGCAGTATCATTTTTGACAAGTGGATAGACTATTTAAGTATAAAACTGTCTTCTTTGACAGTATGGCCGTCAAAAACTGTCATTAAGAAAACAATGCCAAAGAAATTTAGAAAATACCCTGATACCCGAGTTATCATTGACTGTACAGAAATATTTACCGAAACACCACAGTCCCTGACAAATAGGACCCTCCTTTACTCCAATTATAAGTCGCATATGACTTACAAATCGTTGATTGGTATTAGTCCTGCTGGGGTAATAACGTTTGTATCTGACCTTTGGTGTGGCAGTACCAGTGATAAACAGATTACCAAATTGTGTGGTTTGCTACATCTGTGTGAACCTGGGGATTCCATAATGGCTGATAAAGGATTTCCCATTTCTGATCTGACTACTCCCTTAGGAGTGAAATTACACATCCCACCTTTTAAGACAAAAAAGGTTTTTACGAAGAGAAGTGGAAGAAACAAGACGCATTGCAAATTTAAGAATTTACGTTGAAATGGCAATTAAACGTGTGAAGAATTTCAGGATTGTACAGGGGGTCATTCCAATTACTTTGGCAAAGAAAGTCACAAAAATTTGGAAAGTGTGTGTTCACTTGGCAAACCTTCAGCCTCCACTTGTTGGCAAGAAGTAATAATACTGATAAATTTGCACTGTTGAGCTGTGTGCTTTGTATTTCCAAATCCAGCGCAAGGTAGTGTGGTCCTGTGTATATAACTGAGGTCACAAATCAGTTGAAGTTAATCAAGGTTAAGTGCAGAGTCCTTGGATGAATGATGGTGTTTGGAAGTTGAGTCCTGAGAGTTTCTATGACATTAGTCCTTCCCCACAAAGAAGCACCTGTGGCACATGTGGTCTCACCTTATGGAAGTGAGTTTGTTCAAAATTGCCTCTGTTAACCCAGCAAAAAATGGGTACCCGGTGGTGAGATAAGTCATGTGACTATTAACCTTCTAGCACCTCACAGGCAGCTTGGGTTATCTGGGGCAATGTAATAAGCAGATTCACATTACAGCGCCCAGTGAGCAACTAGTGAGATGGATACTAGGTGCTATGTAAATGAGTTATTATTATTATTATTATTAAGGTATATCACCCAAACTCAACCATCAGCTGTCTGATTCAGACCATAACATTGATGTTCAGAATATGTATTATTATACTGATATATTTGTGCTTTGGTATTTATGTAATATATCTAAGGACTTGATGTGGTCCAAAGGAATTCTAATTTAAACACTGGAATAATAGTTTGCATCTATAATCATGATTATGTAACTAGTCCGGTTCATGTTATTCTTACCAATGTCTCCTGGTTAAACTATTCAATCATACTATGTGATTCATGTATTGGTGCAAATAAAACTGACTTTTACATTTTTCAACAGCATTTCAGTTATCTCTGATTTGACATTTACGACAGGACACACCTGGTACTATGTGAAAATTGAGAGCTCTGGCTTATACCGATGAATTATGGGCTGCTTTTAGCATTGCACCCTTCCCTCACTTACTTACTGTATTAGGACAGAACTTTTCTGTTGTAAACATTTCATGCACCCATAGGTCTTGTGTGTGCCTTTCTGCTTTTATCAGGTCGGACTTCCATCTAATTAATAATAGTAATAATAGCTCAGTCAGTCACTGAGACACTTGAACATACATATATAACTCACTCACACACTGACCTAAGACACATTAAGCTTACTTAGGAAACAAGTTATTTCTTCATCACTTTCAGTGCCAGCATCTGGGAAACAGCATGTACACTGAAGTAACAACCCTTAATTGATTAGGCTTTCCAAGCCAGGGATTGAACAGTTGAATTCTACAACTGTCAATAACTAAAATTAACAGTTGGTAATAGAAATGAAACACAGACTCACTTATAACAGATACGTTTTAATGTCATAAAGCCCTTACTTCAACATTTGTAATGGTAATCATTTCACTGAGTGACATTGCAAGTAATGATATGAAGTATTTCACAAACAAAGACCTGGGGGAAAAGACAGGAAAATGTTTACATTATTATTGAAATGTGAAATAGCTTAAGAACTAAAATTCACATAAGTAGTAAAATTTACATAAAACCACTCAGTGAACGAAACTTTGAATAGTATGTGTTATCAATTCATACATTTTGTCAAGCTTGAATGAAAATGTTTGAAGTGAATAGTCACTATACATGTAGTTTTAAGGAAAGAATCTAAACCAACCACAGTACTCTGGTTTTAACATGATATAATGGACATACTATCACATAGTGTATGTGTACATTTAAAGTCGTTCATGTCCTTACACAGGATGCAAACGCTTTCCTCGTTTCACACGAGTTGTGAAAAGCTCTGGCAGAATGGCTTTAATATAAAAGTCATTGAGTAGAGAGAGGCAGCCCTCCCAGAATCTTGAATCAAAGTGTATTCTTTCCACATGACAATCCTTCAGAGTCCATATGAAAAAATCACACCAGTTCATTTGGGATAGAGCCATTTGTCCTTGTATTTGGTAATAGTATGTGTGGCCAACTTTCAATTTAATTTCTCCTTCCTTGAGCGAAGAACAGAATTGAGGATCTTCCGCTGCCTGGTGTACTGTGGAAAGCCGCCACTTGTAAGGACACTTAATTTCAAGAAGTCCAGTTTCATTTCCAATGTGAACAACACCATCAGGACTGGATCCAAGATGAGGAAAGTCCTGATGCACCATGAAACCACATGTAACAACCTTTGCATTCACATCATGTTTCTTCATCAGATTTGCATATTTTCTCCTTGCAGCCGACTCATGAGTACGTCCCCATCTCAGAGCATCATTATCAAATGGTGAATATGCAAAAATGGTCTTTACAGCATTATCAAGGCATGTAGATGTTTTCAGTTTACAGACAAGGCCAAAATTGGAAGAGGTTAATCGCCCTTCCCTTGCTGAGCTCCACATGTTATTGTTGGCTTGTCCACGTGTGTTCTTCTCAATTGTTACACAGTCTTCTTTTGAGATGGACAAGGCACTGAAATACTCTGAAAAATACCTGATACAATCTTCATTTTTCAAATCACAGGTGTCTGCATAGTTGAAATCAACTGAATGGAGGGGAGGTACTGATACATGGGATTCCTCAGTCATATTGACAACAGACTCTTGAGTCAGTAACCACCCTGCATGTGGAAAATGTTCACAGAGTTTTGGAGCAAATCTGTCCACATTTATGGGTTTAACCATCGATTTATCAGGAGCATTAGTAGCATCTTGCCTTATAGTTGTTGTCTTTTTATGTTCTATCCACTTGTGTTTTGTGAATGTCATATCTTGTGATTTAACAGGACTCAATTTACGTTTTCGTGGCTGGTTCCATTTGCATTCCTGTGAAGTAGATGCATGTAAGCCCTCAAGTTTCTTTTCTGAGATGTCAACCAAAGCATACAGGACAGCAGCGACATGGTTGCAAGATTCTCCTTCACTGAAACAGATAAATTGTTCACTGAATGTCAAATTGAAAATGTACAAAAAAAAAACCCCATAATTCCATATCAAATGAGGTAAAACAATACACTGTAGGCATACGCTTTACTTGGATACGGTCCCGCACACATAAATGGAACACATCTGTATTACATATGCCGACAACGAACGCTCAAACGTTATTTGGTTATACATTCAAAGTTGAATCAAGTCCAGAACATTCATCACAATCGTATATACACAAGTATAGTTTGTTTTCAGTAAATGGAATTCATACTTTAGATCTGCCAGATAATATGATTATCGGTAATTTATTAGATCTACTTACCCGGCAGTGCAGTTGCAACCAGCAGCATGTACCCGGCCTGTAACCTTTGACAAGGACACCCACACATCATAATCTGGTTTCTGTTTCATATTCTGAGTTGGTATGGAAGGAATCACTTTGGCATTGACATAACAATGAGAACAGTCCGCGGATATGTGGTGATATCGGACTGAATGAACGTGTCTATCTTCATAGTACACTTTAGCTTTCAACTGGCGTTTAGCGTTGTTTGGGTCAGTGTCTAGTGTCCGCTGCTTGCTCAAAACCAAATAATTATACAGATCACTTGAACTAAATGATGGCATAAGCTCAACACTGCTATCCCAGCCATTTTTCAAGCGTAGTGGGTCTGGTAAAAGTTCCCCGAGAGGTGACAGAAACTTCTCAAATCGTCTTTGTCTCACGCTGACCACGTCGTATGTATTGACATCTTCAATCGATCGTTTGCCAAGATCACGTACACCTTTGGCACGCAAAATTAAGTCAGACTTATTCCCTGAAACGTGTTCTCCGTGATTCCGTAAGTAGGTCTTAAGTTCACGCACATTCAGTTTATCAAAATTCAGATTCACGTCTTGAGTTTTCCCGCCTTGTTTCTCTGCTATCGACGCCATTTTGAACTGAAAACATCTCCGGAAGTGTCCTTGATAAAGGGAGATAACACATGGAAGGGGAGATAAGAACTTATTGGAAAGGAATGACTTCATTTGCACGGTAACTGCCCACATAAATACCAGTGCTCAAACTCACTTCTGAATATGTTTGTCTCAACAGTTAATTTTGATAATTACACTGCCATCACGTCGCGTGACGTAAGGGAATGTCCGCAATTTGCGTTCTATTAACTATGTATAATTATCGTCCATTTTCTCAGGCTGTCCATGTATATCTTTTCTGTTTCAAATTTACTGCTGGCCATGAATATTCATTTCGACCTGAAATGATAAAAAGTTTTCTTATCTCGATTATCTCCGCCGGTTTGGAAATTTATGCCCTGGTGTGATAAGAAACGACACCTATACCCCTGCACACTGGTACAAATACCAGGTTAGCTTGACCTTTCTTCAACTCAATTTCTTAAAAATTGTTTCCGAAGAAAAAGCGTCCAGCTACATCAAAAATTAATTAAAGGCTATTACCATGTGATCTAAATGTTACAGCTTCATAAAATTTGTTATATCATATAACACGAATTATAATTTATTTTTTAATTATTATTTTTTTACACCCAAACGCTCTTTTGCTGGTTGAGGTTGAATCAACTTTAAAATTCTGTGTATGGTGTACAAATGTCAAAATGATATGGCACCACCATATCTTTCTAATATGCTAGTAGACTACATCCCTATAAAGACTCTTCGATCTCAAAATCTGAATCTTCTGAACACACCAAAGTATAATCTTACCAGCTATGGACGCAGCTCCTCGACTATGGAACAAACTTCCTCTAGACATCAAACTTACATCATCATTTACTGTATTCAAATCAAAACTCAAGACGCAACTATTTTCAGGCTATTATTCAAAGACTTTATTTCACCCTATCATTCATGAACTTTAATTCACAGACATTTTCTCCTGCTATTATTCACAGGCTTTATTTTAGGCTATCATTCATAAGTATTTACAATAGCCGCGACTCTTTTAGCTGTTGCTGCTGTAATTATCATTTAAATACAACAAACATTTTGTAATAATTTAAAATGCTTTAGTACACCGGGGTCATTAAATATATGCATATTTAACATTTAACAAAAGCAGTTTTTAATGACATGAGCTTATGACATTATGTTCATCAATGCCATACTCAAGTATGCAAATTAGATACGCAAATTAGATAATCATAGTCTTCAGCAAATACCGATTAATGTGTGATTTCCCTTTATAAAAACACAAGCATCGAAACAGCAAACCAATCACTCGTGATACAAATCCGCTCTCTTAAACATAAATATGGACTGTTTTCTGGCCAGAGTAACCTGGATATGTCAACTTATCAACCATGGTTAGGGCGGCTTGAACCACATCTGATGGCCAGAAACTGACTCGACCCGCCCAGTAATCAATTAGAGTTATCTGCCCTTGATACTTTACCACGAGGTACACAGTGTTTCTCACTCGGCTCAACAATGGCTCAAGTTTTAAGTGGGAAAGAAGCGTCGGCGTGAGTATATGTATAGTTGGTCACATGTCCGGACCTCTGGTCTAAATGCATACAAATATTGCATCTTATGTCGATTCGGTTTTGGGGACATTTTTATCAAAAAGAGCATCACCTCGAAGGATGACCCCTCCTTGACCCCACGACAGTATCAGATCATTTGTCATTCTGATTCAGCCTGTAAATAGAATGCAACCTGACAGCTTGACAGCTAGCAGTGTGTCACTGTGACTTAACATGTGCGCTATGTATGGGGCAGTGTCCAAGACCTACTGAACTCAAAACATTGTTGTGATAATGGATGGGGAGTGGCCTCTTAGTTGAAAAATTAAAAAAGAGTTCAGTTCTTGGAATAATAAATTTTAGGCTGCTGAAATAATTAAGGAAAAATGAGTATAATTTTATTTGAAGTAGTTTTGGTTTTGTGTAAGTATGAGTATCATTCTTTGACGATGTGAAAATATTCTTTTTCACCTTACCATGCAGTAGTGAATAATGTCCAGTCATCGGTCAATTTTTCCATTCGCCCTTTCCCTTAAAGCTTCCATCCATCCTGAAAGATGTATGTATGGATGCTCCAGACAAGGGTGTTTCTAGATCCTGCACACATTATTCCAATCTTTTCAGATTCCGATCCTTTTACCTCTACGATCTGATGTTATGAATATTCCAGAAATAATTAGTGAAGCTACGGCATTTTGTTGCTATTTTTTGGCTGCTTTGACAGTCGGAATTTCATATTTTGCAAAAGTGTTGATTGAAAATACATGTACAAGTTTTTTACTTCTGTGCCCCAAACACTCAAAATGCATGTTTGGAACAAGGTTGGCTAACCCTTGGAATTATAGATACATGTCCTTGCCATGGCTGAATACACAAGTGAAGCAAACTCCTGTGTTATCATTGACTTCCAAAGCATCCATGCTTTGTCATGGAATATTATTTATTTATTTATTTATTTTTTTTCAATATTTTTTACAGGCATACATTATAGAATCATAGAGGTAGGCAGCAAACATATGATGATTCATCTGAGATACATAATATGTAAAGACATATGTTCACAGTATTGTAGATAGTCTGTCTCACAGTCCCTGAACCACATTAATTTCCCTACTGCCAAGCCCTCTCTGCTGTGCTAAAGCCCTAAATAAAGCAAGTCTAGATTTCCTAGGGCTCCTTTTCAATATAAATGGGCTTGTTTGTTACTATCAAAATTAAATATATTCAGAGACTAAGCCTTAATCTATATTGTAGATTAAAATAGAGCTATCCTAACAACAAGTGTAACATTGACCAGAATTGAAAAAAAACATTTGTTCAGTACCATTTGATAAATGGAGATATTTGGTAGCATCATAATACTTAATAACTTCTTTTTTAATAAAATTGATATTAGGCAAATAGTTTCCAGAAGCACATTTGAATATATTTTGTTTGACTAGAAGGATGATTACATTTATAGCCTTTAGGATTATTATTTTCACCTTTACTTCCAAACAAAACCTTTTCAAACGTAAAGTTTACTGATAGTTGAACCGCATGAAGCCATTTTGTTACTTCTTTCCATATTTTCTTTACATGCTCACATTTCCAAAAGAGGTGGTCAGTAGTTTCTAGATCTTTTTGACAAAAGGAGCAAAGTGGTGATTCTATGTATTTTATTTTATGAAGAAAAGATTTTGTTGGTAAAATGTTGTGGATAATCCTATATTGTAACCACCTAAGTTCAGTACTTTTAGTCCATTTGTTTGGGATAATGTTGTAAATCATCCATTCTTTGTCAGTGAAATATCTGTCTAAAACACGTTCCCATTTGGAGTAGCATGGTAGCACGATGAAGGATGATTCATAAGAGTATTGTATAAATGCTTATTTCCCGCAGAATTATTTAATGATTGGTAATTAAAGGGAAAGATGGGATTTTGCAGCGGTTCTGAAAATTCGTAAATTTTATGTTTGTGTGCGTATGACCTTACTGCTGCTTTGATTCTTTCAGATGTTAAAAAATTGGTTTTTATTTGATATTTTTTCGAAAATTCTTCGAAAGTTAATAACCTACCTTCTGTCATGGATTATTTATAAGCTTGAAACCCACAACAAATCCTAATACAACACAGACCCCAGTGGCGATATAAAGTCAGAATAACACCTCAGTATGTTTCTTATAAGAGCTGAGATTGAGGATCTGGTGGGCACAAGGTACTGTGTTACCTAGTCAGACCGTGCTCATGCTATCAACCACTGGTTTACCTGGCCCAGGATGCTGCTGTGATGTTACATACTGCTCAGATGGCATGAAACACCTTTCATAAGGTCAAATATGATCTATTACTTACAATGTATTAGGTGCTATCTAGTAGATAGATCTTGATCCAGACAAGATAATGTTAGTCATTGAGAGATAATGTCTGTTGTGGTACAAAAATATATAATTCTGAGAAATTCCTAAATGTGTTTAAAAATGCAACAAGTAGGTCCTATTACAATAGTATTTTGCTCCAAAGCATCCATTTGTACTTTTGCTGAAGTATTAGCTAAACCCTAAATAGGCCCATCCTTAAATGGGCCCCAGCCAAAAAGACAGTTCCTGACATTTCCCTTTTCGTCGATGATGAAGCAATAAACCTCCCTTTTTCTTTTTGAATGAAAAACCTTGTGTTTTATTAATTCGTGGTAAAATGGATTTTCCCTGCATTTCATAGTGGTAAAGTGCAATATTATACTAGTTGTGTGGTGCTATAACCCATGAAGATCTGGGTTAGAATTAGTTTTCAGTAACCCATGTAAGATGTGACTAATGGGATCAGGTGGTCAGGCGTAGATCGATTCTCAAGATGTTGATCACTGGGTTGTCTGGTCCAGACTCGATTATTTACAGACTGCTGCCATATAGCTGGAATTTTGCTGATTGTGGCGTTTAACAAAAATCAATAAATCAAGTGTGTTGCTATATATCTACATGATTGCAGAGACATCCGTGCTAAGCTGAAAGTGGAAGTGCAAGAATTACAAGAGAAGTACCCAGGACTGGTGCCATGTTTGGCCATTGTACAGGTGAAGAATCTTAAAGAAATTCCTGAGACAGCTTAGATAGATGTCATGCTTGAACCAAAATGTCCAACAGTTCAGACCCAGGACACTCCCTCTGTCCACATGGAAGTATTTAACTGGATCTGAGTTGTTCCACAGATTATGTTCCTAACATGTTAGACTGATAATAGGCCAGGGCCCCGTTTCACGAAGCCTCTCGTAAGCCTAAGTTCTCGTAACTTTTCTCGTAGCGTCGTACCTCCTATGTTACAGTATAGGAGGTACGAATGCTACGAGGAAAGTTACGAGATCTTAGGATTACGAGGGCTTTGTGAAACAGGGCCCTGGTGATGTGGAAAAGGCATCTGACCTTAGATCAGAAAGTCAGGGACTCGAATCCTTTACCGAACTAATGGTATATGGTATAAAGAATGATCTGGGGCAGAAAAGATCCTTAGTAACACTTTCGGGAAATCTGGAAACGTTCTGCAACCTCATGATCTTATTCTTAGCAGGATTCCAGGGCAGGGGATGAATATGCCCTCATGCTGGTTAGAGGCAACCAATGAAGAAAAAATGATTACCATGCTCATGGAAATGAATATGGGAACACACATGAAAGTACATGTGCTCCTTTATTTATTGTGAGTTTCACTCAAAGTGCAATGCATACCTTGTGAAGAAAACTAGAAAAAAATAAAGGAACACTTGTACTTTTATGTGTTCCTTTATTCGTTTCCATGAGAATATTTGCAACCTTGCAGTCTGCCATATTGGTATTACGTTGTTAAGTACATATTATAAATGGTGCCTCTATGATTCTCTTGATACATGAGTTTTGTGTCCCTTAATTAGCTGTTTTGCATAAATACTTCTGTTAAAGTTTATACACAATTTTGGGGCGGTGGGGTAGCCTAGTGGTGAAAGTGTTTGCTTGTCATGCCAAAGACCTGGTTTCGATTCCCCCCATGGGTGCAATGTTTGAAGCCCATTCCTTGTGTCCCCTGCCGTGATATTGCTGGAATTTTGCTAAAAGCAGCGTAAAACCAAACTCTCTCACCCACTCATTATACACAATCTGAACTCTTGTAGGTTGGAGGGAGAGAAGATTCAAATGTCTACATCAATATGAAGCTCAAGTCGGCAGCCGAGGTCGGCGTGGATGCTCGGCACATCAAAGTACCACGAACAGCCACACAAAGTGAAGTATGTATTGCATATACATTAATGTGATGGGGATATAAAAGGCATCCGTTCTTGACTGGAAATTCAATTAGAATTGTCCACTGAAAGTTATCTTGCAGTTGTGATGCATAAGATAGGGAGAATTATCGTTATACCTTCAATATTATTTCCACTTGCAATTTGAATTATCAAACAGCTCCAGACAGCTCAATCAGCATCTAAATAGTCGCCTCGTTTCTCTTCAGATTATCAAGACAGTAGAAGACCTCAACAACAATGTCGATGTCCATGGAATCATTGTACAGGTACAACTCATATGTCTGCACTTATTTTAGCCAAGGGACCTTGTGATGAATCTGAAATAAAGCATCTTATTTTTGTTCATTTCTTGCTGAGTGTCAGAGAAGCAAGAAAAAGGAATTTCAGCTTGTATATTCTTTATTTGCATTACTTTTATGCTCCTTCTTGCCACTTGGACAAGTAATGAAAATAGTTTTCAAATGGGATCCATTGCTCCTGGAACTCTTCAAGATTGTTCCTGTTGCATTTAAATCTAAGGGGTTATGACAAGGACCCCTTGTCTAAGACCTATGACATAAATGACTAATTTTTAACTTTTCCCCACATGGGTACAATGTGTGAAGCCCATTTCTGGTGTCTCCTTACTCACTCACTTGCTCTAAATTTTCATTACTCCATGTCTCAAGTTCTAAATGCCTGTCGGGGCGGTGGGGTAGTCTAGTGGTTAAAGCGTTGGCTCGTCACGCCGAAGACCTGGGTTCGATTCCCCACATGGGTACAATGAGTGAAGCCCATTTCTGGTGTCCCCGGCTGTGATATTGCTGGAATATTGCTAAAAGCGGAGTAAAACCAAACTCAGTCAGTCAGTCTAAATGCCTGTCAGACAAGTTGCGAGATGCATCTGCTTTGTGGACAACTAATCACATCCTTATCTTACAGCTTCCTCTGGACACTGACAATGAAGTGGATGCTAACTTGGTGACCAATACAATACTACAGGTCAAGGACGTTGACGGGGTGGGTACAGTATGCTCTATAACTGCACAGGATTTAGATTTTCATTTATTTCAATTTCCTTTTAAAAGGCCATAGGGCCTGATGTCTATAAACCTCTTAAATTTGATTATTCTTTAACAGGGCCTTAAGATTCAATACATGCGAAGAACAGGCCTTAAACTTAGCTGTCATGGCTGTGATCACATGTTAGACTGACTCCATTTCACATCCATGATAACTAAGTTTCTCCTTGCTTGTGTTTTCTATGGCATAGGCAAAACCCTTAAGAATTTAAGATTGGATTCACTGACTGACGATGACTGAGACTCGATTGATTCTGTTTCAGTCTCCATGTTGATAACGCCGGTCGACTCTCTCGCGGTGACCTTGACAGCTGTATTCTCCCATGCACTCCGCGAGGCTGTCTGGATCTCATACACAGATCAGGTGCCTATATCAGTGACAAACTTCATATACTAGCTTTTGCTTCGGGTTTGCTATGAATATACTGGTTTGGTAGTCCTTACTGGCAAGCAGTAGCAAAGGTTGTCTGATTGAAAGGCTTACTTCAACATTATGACTTACATTTTCTATGCTGATTATCTAAACATTTAGTTTGTAACAAAATGGGAAAGAATTGTCAGGCTGCGTATGATCTAACAAACAAATTTTGGCTTGGAAAGACATGTCTTGGAATGTCCTTGTTTTGTTGGTGTCTTGGGTAACTTCTGACCGGAGGATGCCATTTGATAACTGTCAAGATGCTGCCAAAGCGAGAGGAACTGAATGTGGATAGTGCAGTTGTGGGGAACAAGTGTCTGAATCAGTTGTGTTACTATGTTGGTTGTGTGATCAGGTGTGGAGGTGAAGGGCAAGCAGGCTGTGGTGCTGGGCAGGAGCAAGATAGTGGGGGCTCCGATGTCTGACCTGCTGCTGTGGAACCATGCCACCGTCACCCAGTGTCACTCCAGGACAGCTGACCTGAAGGCAGAGGTGAGTGGTGTGTTGGGGATCAACTGTTTTGTCTGAGATATGACTTTGAGAGAGTTTAGAACGACTTTGAGAGTAAACAACGACTTTTGTCTGCATGTTCTGTATGGTATTATTTATGTGTTATTTCAAGATAGTCTGTGGCCTTGTGACTTGTACGATATAACATTGACTTACTCACTCCGTCCACAGGTACAGAAAGCTGACATCCTCGTAGTCGCTATCGGCAAACCTGAGCTAGTGAAAGGAGACTGGATCAAACCAGGGGCTGTGGTAGTGGACTGTGGCATCAACTCTATTCCAGGTAGGCAGAGAGTGTGTTGAATAATTCTCTTGCCTCTGCATGTGTTTGTGATGGTGCCATTGGTGGGGCATTGTACACTTACCTTTTTATCCCCCGCCGCTCGTTTAGTGCGAAGCGAGGGATATAGTATTAGGCTCTGTACGTACGTACGTACGCGAATTGGAATATCTAAAGAACCGTGCACTAGATTCCTTTCATATTTGGTACCTAGTTTCATCACAGTATAAGAAAGGTCCAACTCAGGTTTGGTGACCTTGACCTTCATTTCAAGGTCACAAGGGGACTTTAACATTTTACCTGCATGTTAAGCTATTTCAAGAACCGTTCACTGGATTTTCTTCATATTCAATACCAAACTTTATCTAGGGAAAGCGCAGGGCCCAGTCGATTTATGTGACCTTCACTTAATTTTCAAGGTCATGGCGACACTTTGAAGATTTCAGCATGTAAACCTGCATGTTAAGCTATCTCAAGAACCGTTCACTGGATTTTCTTCATATTTAACACCAAGTTTTATCTTGGTAGGCCTGAATATGATATTTATCTTGGTAAACTCAGTAAGTAAGCAAACAGAGTACCACTACTTTGTTATTTTTACTTACATCTTTTCAGTACTTAGCATTAAGCAGCATTCCATGGAATACCTGTTAACAGGTTTCCAGTTTGAATCAATATGTATAGTCTGTCTCACAATCCCTGAACCACATTAATTTCCCTAATGCATAGCCCTCCCTGCAATGCTAAAGCCCTAAATGAAGCAAGACTAGATTTCCCCAGGTGAATCTCCCAGCCCACTTGGGCTCCTTTTCAATTTAAATGGGTTTATTTGTTACTATCAAAATTATATATATTCAGAGACTAAGCGTTAGTCTGCATATGGCAACTCTTTATGTATAGCAACTCGATGCTGTGAATTTCGATCTATCGCATGAACTATCTGTTGCCTCGTCTCAAGTTACAAGAATACCAGCAATTGTGTGAAGATATTGATACCAAATATTGTATTTTGCTGAGTACCACCTTCATATGTTCAGATGCCACCAAGAAGTCCGGCAAGAGGCTGGTGGGGGATGTAGCCTACAATGAGGCCAAAGAGGTGGCGTCGTGGATCACACCGGTCCCGGGGGGAGTAGGGCCCATGACTGTAGCCATGCTGCTGAAGAATACCGTGGACCAGGCAAGACGGGCCATGGAGAGAGCTGGGGTGAGTGCTTACACAAGCAGATGGGTTTTTTGTTGATCTGGTTTGGATTTCACATTCGTGAACACCCTGACATATACATCTGTAGTAGACTTAGCTGATATGTTGATACCTGCAGCTGAGATATTGATGAGAACAAATCAAGATGTTGATGACAATAGCTGAGATATTGATGAGAACGGCAAAGGTATGGGAACCTTAGAAGCATGATGGTGGGTTTGTATATTTTGTACTGTGGCTTATGCATACTAGTGGGTTTTACCTGAGTAGTGAATCCAGTCTGTCCAGGCTTTCATTCATCACCAAGTTGTCTGGGGCGATGGGATAGCCTAGTGGTAAAAAGTGTTCGCTCTTCATGCCAAAGACCCAGGTTCAATTCCCCGCATTGGTACAATGTGTGAAGCCTATTTCTGTAATGCTGTAATATTGCTAAAACTAAAGTCACTCACTCATCAAGCCGAGATATTAAGGAAAATGACTCACTCACTCACTCCACTTTCAGGGAGTCGACAAATGGAGCCTGACATTGTTACCCCTGAAACTGAAGACCCCAGTGCCCAGGTAACATTGGTAACGTTACACACAGTATGTGATAATCAGACTTCATTCATTAGTTGAAACCCAAGGGGTAGCGGCAGTAGTTTGTATATTTTTGCTTTTTGTGTGTATGTTATTGCCCATAGATGTGATTGTCATCAATCATGAAGGTGTATCTGGTAGGAATATGCACATAGAAATGCACAGTTATTTGTCTGTACTTGCAGTCAGCAGAACGATGTGAGTAGGACTGTTCTGTAGTGAGCTGAGGGATTCAAAATTTTATTTATCCTGAAACTGTCTCAACTGACGAAAGTAAAGTTTCTCATATGTTATCCTCAAAACATCAATCACAAATTTCTGGTACTTTTAGATATACTTTAGGTGTGGAGAATTTGAGTGTTAATGTGTTATACAGTAAAGTAGTGGTTTAGTTTGTGTTATCATCAGAGACCAATGCATTTGCATAGACATTGAAAGGTCATGCTTCAATCTCTGGCCATTTCATACGTGAACATATTAAAATCTTGTCATAAGTGCGGACTAGTACACTTAATCACAGATGTGAATACTTTGCTACATAAATAAGTTATGTAAATAAATCTTGAACTCATCCTCATCCTCAGTGACATTGAAGTTGCCCAGTCTCAGACACCACGTGACATTGCACTCCTGGCAAGGGAGATAAATCTTCAGCCAGAAGAGGTTGACTTGTACGGCAAGAAGAAGGCAAAGGTTTCCTTGCAGGTGCTGAAGAGACTGGCCAATCAGAAGGATGGACGCTACGTAGTAGTCACAGGGTGAGTTGACCAGTACGTCTTCCCCTTTAAACTCTACTAGACCTCATTATTGTCTATTATCTGTCTTACTGTGATACTCAAATATCAATGAACTGGCTAATACAGGTCATATATTTATATAATCCCTGAAAGGTTGAATCTCATTAGCAGATTATTAATATTCAATACTTCAAAGTCAAGTTCTTTCAAAGCATGAACTGGATATCCATCCTCGATAATCTCCAGGGTATACATTCCGATAAATCACCACTATACCCTGGATGCTTCTACCGCTCGGTCACACCGAAGACCCGGGTTCGAATCCCCACATTGGCACCATGTGTGAAGCCCATTTCTGGTGTCCCCGGCCGTGATGTTGCTGGAATATTGCTAAAAGCGGCGTAAAACCAAACTCAGTCAGTCAGTCTACGGCTCGGCCCCATGATTTTCTTACCTCCCTTGGCTGGCTTTTTATCCAATCAGGTGTATACGCTGGGAAGTTGAGCATACCAATCACAACTCTCTTTCGCTTCTTTTATGTAACCGATTAAACTTGGCAACATAATTGTTGCAGAGGTACTCTGAAAGAGGTAGAAAGAGTTCTTGGATATATTTTTTAAGGTTTCAGACCCATCAATTTGTCTGTATGATTTACCCCCAAATCTGAATCGCACTGCGAACAACCCTTCACGGCTGCGACCGGTATCTTTGTTGACACTGGCAAGCTCGGTTGTAATGACGGCTTAGCTGATTGGCTACTGTGAGAATACAGAGCCAGCAAAGGGAGGTAATAAAATAAGCAGGCCGAGCCATAGATCCAACCTGGGTACTAGTGGAGATTTATGATAACGTATACCCTGGAGATTATCGAGGATGCTGGATATCATATCAAGTGAAGTTTCAGCAAAGAGGCTTCTGGATTTTCTGTACAAGCAAGTATGCAAAGTTATTCTGAACAGCGTACCTGTCTGAATGTCAGGTATAAAAGTGGATTAAAGTAAATGCAGAGAACAACAACAAATAATTAAGAATACATGTATTGTGGGGCCATCTGATTTGCAAGAAAAATCAAGGATCCTGCCTTCTATGTGCTCCTATCTGGATGCATCTGATTATATTCATATTTCAGGATCACGCCGACGCCCCTGGGAGAAGGAAAGAGTACTACCTCTATCGGTCTAGCTCAAGCCATCGGATCACAGCTCAAGAAGAACATATTTGCCTGTGTCAGACAACCTTCTCAGGGCCCCACATTTGGCATCAAAGGTAGCAAGGAATATAGACAACATAATCATCCATATTACCAAATGTGTTGAGATCTTAGGAAGACAGATAGCCAACATTAGCTCTTGTGGTTTGTAGAACTGATTGTGGAGAACAGTACAGTCAGTGTTTCTTTCACTTTTGGAACTACCAGTCAGACAGACCTGCAGTTGTTTAACATACCAGTCCTGGCTATTTTTGAACAGTTAGTCAACAAATGTGTTATGCAAGATAGAAATTATCAGTAAATTGTCATTATTGTCAGAGCCATTCATAACTCTTGCCTCTTTCCGTGACGTACAAGAAGGCTCATACCTGCAAAGTACGCCATTATTGCCAAGAATCCTCACAAACCAATCAAATCACGTGTAGTAAAACACATTTCAAAGCATGAAAATGGCGGCACCAATGAACTTTGAAACTTCGCTAAACTCTGTAAAGCACAATTGTAACACAAAATTTGAGCTAAAGGATCAGCAACTTTCAACACTGAACACATCTTTATGTGGGGAATGCTGTATAGCTGTTTAGTCTACGGGATATGGGATATTCTAGGATTATCCATGTTTGGAAATGCAGAGTTATGTTTTCTTGGATATAGTACTGGACTATTTCCATCTCCGTGCCCGTTTGCATTTAGACAAGGCCCAGTCATAAACATGGCCATGAAAGGGGTATGAGACGCCATCCGGATTGCCAGAATAACACGAGTAGTTATAAATGATTCAGAGCTGGAAAGTGCGACTCTTTTCGCTAACATAGATGCTTTCTAATATATTTCCTTGAGTGAAAATACATTTGAGACTTCTATTATGTAATGACTTATGTTCAAGATGTTACGCTGAATACCTTCATTTCCATATTTTGAATATTGTGTGGTTGTACTCTCTGAAGGCTATAATAATTCATGTTGATTCATATTGCATGATATTGATGCTACAAGCACACGTTACCAGGGTAGAAGATTCAGATTAGAATATTTCTACCTTCAGGTGGCGCTGCGGGGGGTGGGTATTCCCAGGTGATCCCCATGGAAGAATTCAATCTCCACCTGACTGGTGACATCCATGCCATCACCGCCGCCAACAACCTCACCGCCGCTGCCATCGAGGCCCGGATGTTCCATGAAAGCACCCAGAAGGATGAGGCGCTCTACAAGCGGCTGGTACCCACCAAGGGAGGCAAGCGAGCCTTCTGCAAGATACAACTGAAAAGGCTGCAGGTAAAGTCTTCATTAAAACTTCAGAACCTTATCTCATGCAGTGAATTATAGCTCCAATACCTCAATATTGACTGACAAAAACTGTATTCCTCTTGCTAGAAACATGTAGTATTAGGTCATTTTCACACTGTTTCTAACTTATATTTTTCCATTTCCATATGTCAGGTAATGCTGAGTATGGTTTTGGAAGTGGTGCCCTATTCCAACTGTTAATGTGTTTCTCTCAGGGAAAGCATTCTTTGATTTCACATGTTGGTGTATTAAGGGGTCTGTTCTTTGTGCTCCTGTGGGGCTGTTGCAATCACTCTTGGATTACAAAGAGTATTATTTGCATCAATGATGTTCAAGCAATGTTTTGTTTTTTCATCAGAAACTTGGAATCACTAAAACCAACCCTAATGAACTGACACCGGAGGAAGTACGTCAGTTTGCTCGACTTGACATTGACCCACAAACAATAACATGGCAGAGAGGTAAGAGAAAGAAAGAAGAACGTTTTATCAGTTGTACAAATGATTACCGTACATCATGTTGTGATTGTATTGATGCAGCTGGAGGGTATCCAGAGTGGAATAGGTTCCCAGGTAGCTGTATCTGTTGTACTGGCCGACTGAATAGATAGTAGGGTCAGACTCAGTGAGTTGGTTATATGTCATCATATCCCAGCAATGTGGGGTGGTGCTCATTGTATCAATCATTGGTTTGTCTGGTCCAGACTCGATTTTGTATGAGCCACTGTCAAATAACTGAAATATTGCGTGTGGTGTTAAAGAACAAACAAATACCAAAACCTTCCCTGTGTTTTCAGTGATGGACACCAATGACCGGTTCCTGCGGAAGATCACGGTGGGACAAGGCCCGCAGGAGAAGGGTCACACCAGAGAGGTAAGAACATGACTTACAACCTGTGTTTGACTCAATGCAGAATTCATGTCTGAGTGGAATTGAAAGAAATATTACCGAAAAGTGACAGCTTCTTCAGCAAGTCAAGTTGTTGATGTATGGATATGAAGAATGTTTGCATATGTCTGACAAATGAAGCATGTATTAATCCCCTACGCTACGTTATGCTGAAACACACAAAATGCATTTTGATCAACAAGGGTAGTCCATTGTTTATTCTAAAATCCAAAATCAAACAAAATTGTGAGTAAATGGTGTGTGAATTGTTCACTTGTAGGGAAGGAAAGGACAGTTGGGTAGCTGAGCGGTTAATGCATTCACCACAATATCGACTCTCAAGTTCGGTTCCCAACACAGGTGCTATGTGTGAAGCATATTTCTTGGTTCTAATTAAACTGCTGGAATATTGCTTAAAGCGGTGTAAAATTGTCGTTCACTCACAGACTCGGGGAATGTGTTGTATTCTAGACCCAGTTTGACATCACAGTGGCCAGTGAGATTATGGCCGTGCTGGCCCTGACCACAAGCCTGCAGGACATGAGAGAGAGGCTTGGTGAGATGGTTGTCGCCAGTAGTCGAGCGGGAGATCCAGTCACAGCTGATGACTTGGTAAAGTATAGCTTATGTTGATTCACCCCGCACACTGGTTGGCCGGAAACATAAATGTGAGATAAGTTGGTGAAGTTGTTCAATAAATGTGACACTGTATTTTTGATTATAATTTAACTGGGCACAAGTTGTCAAGAGTTATGTGACCAAATTGCATCATAGAATTGCTTCCCTTAGCAGTGGGGATCCCCAGATGTTTTATTTTGTTTCATCTGATCCTGATTTCACTATTTTATGGTAAGCAACCTTCCATACTCATGAGTAAACACCTAACACCTGCATTAGTGTGGGAATTCATCTCACAAAGTTGATTCATCATTTATTAGTGGTGGAGACCCGTGAAGGTCCAGGTTAGAATATTGGCCTTCAGTAACCCAAGCTTGCTGTAAGAGGCAACTAACAGGATCGGGATTGCTGACTTGGTTGACACATGTCATTGGTTCCCAATTGCTCAGATCGATGCTCATGCTGTTGATCACTGGATTGTCTGGTCCAGACTTGATTATTTACAGACCGCTGCCATATATCTGGAATATTGCTGAGTGTCGCATAAAACTAAACTCACTCACTCACTAGTGGTGGAAGTCCACATTCACCTAGTCCAATTTGAACATATTTTGTCATGGTGTAATATACTTTCTAAGACATCAGCAAATTTTTTAAAGAGTTTGAATGAATAAAAACTGTTCATACTTTTCATCAAGCCCATGATATTATTTCATGTAATTTAGCCAGTCAGAAGGCAAGAAACATGCATTTTCAAGAAGAAACTGCAATGTTTCCCTGTTCATTCTTAGATATGATACAAGCTGTGGACTCATCTCTAGCCAACACTAGTAGTTGAGTATTGTAGGCACTAAGCTGGTGCCTCTAGGGACTGTATAATCCTTTGCTACCCAGACACAACCTTCTCAGTGTGATCAGATCTAAAATACAAATAACAACAGCAAAGACATTCTTCCTGTGCAGCAACCATGTTGGCTATAAAATTAGGTTACATCACAGATTTGATAGTGTAAAGAGGGATTTAGTAGAGTCCACAGCAACGTATTTGTTGTACAGAGTTACGGAATGGATGATGTGGTCTATCTCAGTGACTTGTTTAATTATTAGTCATCATACCCAGAAGATATCATCGTAATCATCATACCCAGAAGATATCATCATAATCATCATACCCAGAAGATATCATCATACCCTGAAGATATCATAATCATCATACCCAGACAATATCATCTTAATCATCATACCCAGAAGATATCATCATAATCATAATACCCAGAAGATATCATCATAATCATCATACCCAGAAGATATCATCGTAATCATACCCAGAAGATATCATCATACCCAGAAGATATCATCATAATCATCATACCCAGACAATATCATCATAATCATCATACCCAGAAGATATCATCATAATCATCATACCCAGAAGATATCATCATAATCATAATACCCAAAAGATATAATAATCATACCCTGACGATATCATCATAATCATCATACCCAGAAGATATCATAATCATCATACCCAGATGATATCATCATAATCATACCCAGAAGATATCATAATCATCATACCCAGAAGATATCATCATAATCATCATACCCAGAAGATATCATCATACCCTGAAGATATCATCGTAATCATCATACCCAGAAGATATCATCGTAATCATCATACCCAGAAGATATCATCGTAATCATCATACCCAGAAGATATCATCGTAATCATCATACCCAGAAGATATCATCGTAATCATCATACCCAGAAGATATCATCATAATCATCATACCCAGAAGATATCATAATCATCATACCCAGAAGATATCATCATAATCATCATACCCTGAAGATATAATAATAATCATACCCAGACGATATCATCAAAATCATCATACCCAGAAGATATCATAATCATCATACCCAGAAGATATCATCATAATCATCATACCCAGAAGATATCATCATAATCATCATACCCTGAAGATATCATCATACCCAGAAGACATCATAATCATAATACCCAGAAGATATCATCATAATCATACCCAGACGATATCATAATCATCATACCCAGAAGATGTCATCATAATCATAATACCCAGAAGATATCATCATCATACCCAGACAATATCATCATAATCATCATACCCTGAAGATATCATCATAATCATCATACCCAGAAGACATCATCATAATCATAATACCCAGAAGATATCATCATCATACCCAGAAGATATCATCATAATCATCATACCCAGAAGATATCATCATAATCATCATACCAAGACGATATCATCATAATCATCATACCCAGAAGATATCATCATACTCATCATACCCAGAAGATATGGGATGTGTGATCATACTTCTTTCTACATACTGGTTTATCTTGTCCAAACTAAAACAGGCTACCATAGCAAACAAACAGTTTAAAAATATTGTTCCTGTGTTTAGAGATGTGCTTATTTCAAGCTTGGTAAAACTTCTTGTGGAAAGATGGAAGGTTTTGGGGAGTAGTGGGATTGCTGTGTACCATGTGACTTGTTTGTATGTAGGTGTTATCCTCTTGCAGGGAGTGAGTGGGGCACTGGCTGTGTTGATGAAAGATGCCATAAGACCCAACCTCATGCAGACACTGGAGGTAAGACGGTGGGGAAATCTCTGTAGCCTTCCTTGATCAAACCACCGATCTTGAAACTTTTATTTTTGAGTTTGTATTACTAGGTTTACACATTTTCTAACACATTTTTGTTTAATCAAGTTAATGATTGTAAGAACAGTTGTCTTATTTTGTCCCTTTGAATCTGTTAAGCTTTTGGTAATGAAAAGAAACCTAAGATTAGACATTCTCATATGAGATCCATTTGCAAAGGCTTATCGACTTTGTTGTTTGAAAAGATTAGACATTCTTGAAGAATTCATTTGATTTATTTTGCAAGAATATGATGTATCAAGATAAATGCTAATTATTGCATTATTGCTAGTTAGCAATAGCCTACCCCTTTACAAAATGTAATACTGTTCATATCCCTGCTTGTAGGGTACCCCTGTGTTTGTACATGCTGGTCCATTTGCTAACATAGCCCATGGCAATTCCTCCATCTTGGCCGACAAGATTGCACTGAAACTGGTTGGAGAAGATGGCTTTGTAGGTACGTACATGGCAAACGTTTTGTCTCTGATTCCCCTACTGCAGAACAACCAGGTTGTGATTGTAGTATGGATCTGTAACTGTCAACATGTCTCTCTGCATCATTTATTCTTTCCTGTCAATCAGAATGGTAACTTTGTGACAAGTGTTACTCAAGAGCAATGGCAGACTGTTCTTCTTGTTACGATATTCCAACCTGGCAAACTGGCATACTTAAAGAAATGTTGTGAATACTTGGTACACATTATTGTCTCATTAGAGAAAAGGATACACAGTATTTTCCAGTTAATCTGACAGTAATGATCTTAAAGATGGGTATCAAGGAGTCCATGGTCTCAACTAATTAGGTTTCTGTGTTGAAAGCTACTCATTATGCAACTTCACCATGGTAGTATTATTCAGTAAGATTCCATTGGCATCCATTTTGGGCCTTGTTAAATCAGTATGGCACCGTACTATAACTGTCTCTAGGGCATTTGTGCATGTGGAGCAGAATGATTGTTAGTTTACTCGAACACCATGGATTGTGCTTTTGCTGTTGACAACTACTTTGTTTGGTCGAATCTGCACATTCAACGCTGACTCAACCTTGTGGTTACAGTGACTGAGGCCGGGTTTGGTGCCGACATCGGTATGGAGAAGTTCTTCAACATCAAGTGCCGCTACTCGGGCCTCGTCCCTAATGCTGTGGTACTCGTGGCCACAATCCGGGCTCTCAAGATGCATGGTGGCGGCCCCACGGTAACAGCTGGCGTCCCTCTGCCCAAAGAATATACTGAGGAGGTGAGACTGGGTAGAAAGGAAAGGAAGAAACAATGGTCTAGATCACTGCTTTTTTTTTGTAAATCTAAAGGACACTAAAATGAGTAGGCCATCAGTACTTCAAACATTATAATTTGGGTCATCCTACATTGGGTCTTGTGAGCTCTTTGAAGGCATCGTCTTCCTTCATCATGGGGAGAAGGTCTGTGTTTCAGACTAGTATGGCCAATACACTTACACAGACATTATTTAGTCTGCAAAGATGAGGATTGGATGATAGGGAAGTGTGACCAGCCTGGCTGTTGTCTGTACTGTCACGTCTACAGGTCACTGAAGTAGAGCATATAATAATATACTGAACCTGTTTTCAGAACTTGGAGTTGCTTGAGAAGGGCTGCAGCAACCTGAAGAAGCAGATAGAAAATGCCAACAAGTTTGGTGTACCTGTGGTTGTAGCTGTGAACGCCATGACGTAAGTTCTCCTGCAGTTTCAAGATGACCACAGTTTCAAACTAAAATGTGAGGTATTTTAACATCTTGAGGGGATATAAATGTGAATCTCTTTACCTACATAAAACTGAATCATTATTTGTTTATATCTTGGAAGCCTGATTAGACTGATTTATTGTGGTCAGCAAGGAAATGTTGATTGTCAGATCGTTTCTTTGAAAACTCCATGGAATGTGTAACTGAATATTTGACTCTCCTGACATATAGGACCGACACCCCAGCTGAGCTTGACCTGGTCAAGAGGAAGTCAGTGGAGGATGGTGCCTTCGATGCCATCATCTGTGAACACTGGGCCAAGGGCGGACTAGGAGCTGCGGACCTTGCCGCGGCAGTCGATCGAGCTACACAACAGCCCAGCCAGTTCAAGTTCCTCTATGATGTCAAGGTAGGTGTTGAAGTCTTCCAAGTTCCTTTGGAAGCCACAGTAAGTCTGAATCAGTTCAAATATCTTTACAGTGTCACAGTACATCCCACACTGTTCAAGGTCCCAGCCATTTTACAAACGTTTCTGCAACATTTTCTGGACCTAGGCGATTCATGTTTTCCTACAACATTAATGTAATGCCAGCTGTTTCTCCCATTTTCTAACGTGGAATGATGTTCTATTGATGGCATCTAACGGTGCTGTGCAGCACACAACTCCGTCATAGTACACAACATGTTGTAATTGAATTGGGAATTTCATGGCTTTCTGTTTGATATATTACGTTGTTTCTCTGACTGTGACTTTTGGTCCATGGCTTTAACTTGATGATTGGTAAATGACAGACTAATGTTAAGTCATTGAACATTTCCATCCATGATGGTATTTGCAGGTATTACAAAATCACACAAGCAAACGCTCTTGAAACGTCACTGAACACATATTTTGTGTACACTGCAAAGAAAATAAACTCCAGTGGTTTTCAAGAAACAAAGGGACTTCCATATAAAGCTATATTTTACAGCTCTTATTTCATGTCCTATTTCACAGCTTCCAATTGAGGAGAAGATTGCAATCATTGCCCGCGAGATCTACGGAGCCGATGGTATTGACATTCTACCCGGAAGCCAAGACACAGATTGAGAGATACAAGAAACAGGTACTTTGGAGCACAGGCATTGTTAAGTACAAACACAGAACTGTCAATGCTTACACAAGGTGTAGCCACTTTATCCACAAAGGGATTTAATTGTTTGAAAGAGAGGTGGTAATAGTTTAATTTGGCGAATGATTTGAACAAATGAAAGTTTAATTGATTAATGTTTGATCCTGGTAGCTCAGTGATCGGAATATTTAAGTATACAAGAAGTGAGGCAAGCATTTTTATTCACTATGATGTAACGTCACAGAGTTACTTCCCTTTGTATGTCTGCCTACTTTGTTGTTCAGCCCCGAAGCAATACTGATTTCTAAATAAATTACCGTATATTACTGTAGATAAGCCGTCCCCATAGATAAGCCGACCCCCAAACTTGACCCTTAAAATCAGTGTCAAAATGGTATGTTTTGTACATAAGCCGATCTCCAGCGATGGGGCCCTAATCGTGGCAAACACAGACCACAGACAACTGGCAGTTACCGATAATTATAACTTTGGTGCACATTATTCAAAGAATTCACAATCCTATTGCGTCTACTCACGCATTGAAATGAAGTGTAGTTGACAGAAAATGGATAATACATTTTGTTTCGCTAAATATCATACTTATTGTAGCTGGACGATCACATGTCAACAAACTGGCTTGCTTATTTTACCCCCTTCTATGTGCGTACAACTTCCGCTTACCCCGTTCGTGAGGGTACGTTCTTCGCTCCAACCGCGATAGCCAATATCACATCATATTATCAACAATCACGAACTGATTACCACCTCGTTTTCCATGGACTGCTAGTTTACAGTAACATCGGTAAAAGTGTGTGAATTTAAATGGCTTGCTTATTTTACCCCATTCCATTCAACTTCCGCTTACCACGCTCATGAGGGTCCGTATAAACCTTAGTGTTGATTATATATATTTTACATTTATAGAGCAAAACCTGTAATTAAAATTACACAATGCTAAGATATATTTCTTTGGGTTAAATAATAGTATTCTGTATTATATTTTACTGATGACTGTGTCAGAATTCATCCTGTCATATTATTGTGCATGTTTGAACTTGATCGCCAGGAAACGTATGCACAGCTGATTGCTATTTCCGGCTCAAATACACACGGTAATCTTAATCCCTGCAAATAATACAATGCCCAGCAAAAACAACTAAGAACTTTAAAGGTAAATAATCATGTCTAGTGGTGTTTAATTGCAAATTTCACGCGAAGTCATACGATGTTGTTTTCTTACCCCTGGAAAAAAGTTTGACGAAAGCGTAACCCATAGATAAGCCAACTCCCTTTTACAGACTGCTTTTTTCGGTCCTCAAAATTCAGATTATCTACGGTAATATATGGTACAGATTAATAATGCCCAATTGCAGCATTCCTTGATGACATTTCTATGTTGTGCAGATCCAGTACTATATGTATTTCCTTCCAGGGGGTTCAATGACCTTCCCATCTGTATGGCCAAGACCCACCTGTCTCTCTCCCACAATGCCGAGCTGAAGGGGGCCCCGACTGGGTTCACACTTCCTATCCGAGAAGCAAGAGCCAGTATAGGAGCTGGGTTCATCTACCCCCTTGTGGGCACTGTAAGTGTTGCCATGACAATGTATCGTATAATTGTTTTAAGTTTAAGAAAGTTTAGTCAAACGTGTCCGAATGGTCTAAGATGCCCAGCTGGCTCTTCATCCAGACCGATTATTGACAGACTGCCACCATATAGCTGTAATATTGCTTGAATGAATCGTTAAACAACAAGCCAACCAACCAACCATAGTTGCTGCTCTTAGTTGTTCCAGGATCTGCTGGTCATTGGTTGTATTACCAAACTGTTCATGCTCTTATTCACATCTTGCATGGATGGTGACATTGGGTCACATGACCAAGGAATTACAATGTTTACTCAGTTGTGTTCAGCGTTTAATATATCTTACTCAAGGTGGTTTTGCAGATGTGTGCATGAAGGTTTTTCTGTTATATGTTAGGTCTTCCAGCCTTTAAGGCTGACTTAATGACTATCTGCATATAATCCTGACTTGCGCACAAACTGCTGCTACATATGTTATATTTGGGATTACACTTTCTAAGTAAAGTACAAATTCTAGTACTTTTTGGGTTGAGTCCCATCCGGGATTTGAACCCACACCCACAGTCAGGCACCAAATCGCCAGCACACGAAGTCATTCCCCTAACCTGCTCAGCCACCGCAGCTTGTACTTTACTGAGAAAGTGTAATCCCAAATATAACATATGTTGCATTTGACCACTTTCTAAATGGCATTGTGTAATCAAAACTGCTGCTGCCACTTTTTAACGATAAAAGATTTGTAAATATTTGTATATTTCACATGATTTTGTGTTACACAAAATACTCTGACCTTGACATAAGGTTTTCACGGTCAGAGGTGAAGGATTACATAAGTGAATAATATTACAATTTATTGTGTATGTGCCAAGCAGAAATGTACCCACGGTGGCTGAGTGTGTTAGATGGTTGACTTTGCTCACTGATATTAGTGAAAGACTAAAGTGAATGCTTCATGTTTACCTTGTGGGCATTCAGGTCAGAGTAGGGGTATCTAGGTAGCTTAGTGGTTAAAGCGTTCGCTTGTCACGACAAAAACCTATGTTTGATTGCCCCTGTCTTGCAGCAGCTGGTTACAGTGTGTAACCCAGGGCCCCGTTCCTCAAAGCGATCGTGGTATAGACTTACAACTGTCGTAGCGCTATGATCGCTTTGAGGAATGGGGCCCTGGTCCATGAAAACATGTAAGAAAGGTTTTATCTTTTGCCTAAAAATCTTTTCCTGTTTGTGTTTTTTCAGATGAGCACAATGCCAGGGCTCCCAACCAGACCATGTTTCTTCGAAATTGACATTGACCCTGAAACTGAGGAGATTGTGGGACTCTCATAACGCTTCACACAATGAGTGATATATTCATTGGCTGGAGCTAATTGAGCAGTATTAATGGAGGTTAAAATGACATAAGTGTAATTTCTGGATGTCTGTGAAATACTTATATCTATCTATGCAAGCGCTTGTCAGAAAAGTTTAGACAGATCTATCCACCATGTCATTCTGTAATATAGTGACCCCTTTAGATGGAAAAGTTAATAATTATGTATAAATCATCGAATAATAAGTGATTGATTAATTAGTAAATTTTCTGGATTAGAACTTCAACAACTTATCCTTGTTGTGAGAGATGACTATGTTTGTCTTCAAAGGCGACTAACAAGATGGGGTGGTAACTGATGTGTGTCACTCTATCCCAGAGCAATGCTCATGATGTCAATCACTTGATTTGTCTGTAGCAGACCTTCACAAACCCTTGCTTTGTTGTTGGAGGCATTGGGGGGTTGGGCTTGCAAACTTCGTTGATGCATCTCGTGATCGAAATGTCTAGACCAATGCTCATGACGTCAGTCACATGATTGTCTGTTTTTTAACATTTTCTTTGCCAAGCATAAATACAATGTCATGTATAGTGTCATATAATATACATTGGGCTGTGTTTTAGAGATACACAAATATAGTCATCATTTCCCTATAAGGGGTTACTGTTTTGTTTGGTACACATTAAGGCTCAAATATTTGAATCTTTTGGAACCGAACCATTTTATTTACCTTTTTTACATATTGAAGCATTGCTATGGCAACTCTATGATAACAAAAAAACACTAATTTAATAGGAATTCGATATTGTTACAGTTCTTAAAATTGACATTGTAGGAATATGAAATTTGTTTTTAAGTTAAAAGTAGTGTAAATTAGAATTTCAGGCAATAGATTTGAAAATGTACACCTCATTGCATCCTGTGAGTCCGTATTAAATAATAGATATTCACAAGGCAATGGATTATGTCCTGTAGCCACATTTATATGTTGATTGCTTTGTGTTAAGTTTTCAATGAGGTGCTCTTTAAAGTCAGATCATAGTGCAGGTGAAAACTGAGTAACTGTTAATGTGTACTGTATGTCTCGGGTGAGGGGGGAGATTATTCCCGTGGAACAGCTGGTACTTTGAAGATGTTTCCATTGTCAATTTACTTTCCTAATATACTGAACATTAGAAACACGCCACACGAAAATGCACCGACAATGCTCAGATATCATGGGTACATTTCAGTCTGACGGGCATATTTCGTGGTGGTGTGATTCTAATGTTGTTCAGTATGGAACTAATCATCACTGACACTTGCCACCGCTACACAAAACGTGTAGCAATAGCACTAATATCTGATACTGATGAGATAGGTGCTGGTACTTGCTCAACGACTATAGTGTTACACCAGATTATAACCTGTTTATTAAATGTTAATAACACTGTTTACAGGCGCTCTCCCAGCTCTTGATCACTTGGTCTGTTGCACTGAACATGTTTCACGGTTCAGCTTGGTTATGTAATGGTCAGGCTGGCTGTCCCGTACTTTGTTAACAGTGGTGTCCATCACTCATGTTTGCATGGATGTCGCACTTTGATTGTTATGAATTATCAGAATTCAGTTTGAGAATGTTTGATTGGTTGCATGTTGTTTTCTTTACAGATGTAATCTGTACATTGGATGACACTTTTCTAAAAGTGAATGATTGTGTGAAATAACAGACTTCTTAAGTCATTGTGTAATGCCCACTGGAGACATTCATATTCCGACATTATGGTAACGTTAATCGTATAATGAGAGTGCAACACATCTCACAGCAGTTGATGAATCCTGGTTCGTGTCGTCCACAGATAGTATCATTGTGTGATATATACGATGGGAGCATGAAGATTCAGTACAACAAACCACTGTTTTAGAAAGTTTATTTTCAGCATCTCTATATACTCTGGAAAATATTTATGAAAAGTAACGCTTCTTTGTAACAACATGATTTCATTGATCCTGCAAATGTACATACAACACGATAAGATGATTAACATTCCATGTCAGGTGGTAAGACCATGTGTGGTGTTACTGAAGGAGAGTAGGACATGGTGTATGTACTAGTGTTGGGAATTGGTTAAAATCTCATAATTGATGATTGGTTCATTACCACCTCAATCATCGAAAATAAATGGTTAGCGTCATTTATGAAATTTGTTAATGCACAAAAAAAATAAGGAAAAAAACGTTATTTTGGGGTGTTTTTTGGCAATATTTCACATCTTTAAAGGATGACTAGTATGTTAGGAACATAAATTTCTTGGTGTCTTTAAGATAAATTCAATCATGACTTGGAATGAGCTTATAGTGCTTATGAAATGTAACAGACAAAACCAACCTTGTGAAAAATATTGTTGATGAAAACAAGCGTTCCAGAATTGTTTGTGTTCGATTATGAGAAAACATGATCAATTGCTTGGTCGTTTAGTCACTGCGACCAATCTTCGATTATTTCAATTAATCGGACCACCACTAGTAAGTACACAGTAAACACAAGTGATCTCCTGTTGAGACACAATCAAAATATTACCTTGCAATGTACTACTGTATGATCTTGTTGATCTTGTTGAGCATGTTATCAATGTCATTGTTTGGTTACTCAGTACCTTTACTCCAGAATGAATGAGGTTATTGGTTTATAAATGAATTATTCCATAGCTGGTGTTTGTTTTCTATGATATACCATAGTTGTACACTAAAAGGAACCTTCATCACCTGGCAATACCACTCGGTTCTCCACTTCTGATCCTGGTAGTGGGGTGGTCAAGTGTTGGTTCATCATGTCAAAGACCTGGGTTTGACTTCCCAGATGGCTACAGTGTGTGAAGCTGGTGTTGCTGGAATAATGCCAAAAACATGCAAAAAATACTTTGAACTGAACTGCTGTATGGAGAAGACCCAATATAACTGATTGAACCTGTGTATAGATATCACTTACTATAACTGATTGAACCTCTGTATAGATATCACTTACTATAACTGATTGAACCTCTGTATAGATATCACTTACTATAACTGATTGAACCTCTGTATAGATATCGCTCACTCCAACTGATTGAACCTCTGTATAGATATCACTTACTATAACTGATTGAACCTCTGTATAGATATCACTTACTATAACTGATTGAACCTCTGTATAGATATCACTTACTATAACTGATTGAACCTCTGTATAGATATCGCTCACTCCACCTGATTCAACCTCTGTATAGATATCACTTACTATAACTGATTGAACCTCTGTATAGATATCACTTACTATAACTGATTGAACCTCTGTATAGATATCGCTCACTCCAACTGATTGAACCTCTGTATAGATATCACTTACTATAACTGATTGAACCTCTGTATAGATATCACTTACTATAACTGATTGAACCTCTGTATAGATATCACTTACTATAACTGATTGAACCTCTGTATAGATATCGCTCACTCCACCTGATTCAACCTCTGTATAGATATCACTTACTATAACTGATTGAACCTCTGTATAGATATCACTTACTATAACTGATTCAACCTCTGTATAGATATCACTTACTATAACTGATTGAACCTCTGTAAAAATGACATCCACAGTGAATTCACTGAACCTTAGTATTAAGGACATCCATGCTGAATTCACTGAACCTTAGTATTAAGGACATCCATGCTGAATTCACTGAACCTTAGTATTAAGGACATCCACAGTGAATTCACTGAACCTTAGTATTAAGGACGTCCATGCTGAATTCACTGAACCTTAGTATTAAGGACATCCATGCTGAATTCACTGAACCATAGTATTAAGGACATCCATGCAGAATTCACTGAACCTTAGTATTAAGGACATCCACAGTGAATTCACTGAACCTTAGTATTAAGGACATCCATGCTGAATTCACTGAACCTTAGTATTAAGGACATCCATGCTGAATTCACTGAACCTTAGTATTAAGGACATCCATGCTGAATTCACTGAACCTTAGTATTAAGGACATCCATGCAGAATTCACTGAACCTTAGTATTAAGGACATCCACAGTGAATTCACTGAACCTTAGTATTAAGGACATCCATGCTGAATTCACTGAACCTTAGTATTAAGGACATCCATGCTGAATTCACTGAACCCTAATAAAGGGAGACAACCCTGATATAAGGGCAGTCAACTATAACTCGACAAACTCAGGTCATCAACAAACAGAACCTCAGTTTTAAGGACATCCATAATTCATTGAACATCAATACAAAGGACATCCACAATGAAATTGCATCACATTAGTATAAAAATGATGAAATCACCTCAAATCTACAATGATCTGACCAAACTTTGTAAAAAGGACGAATACAATGATGTGATAACCTCAGAAAAACAGACATCTACCATGATCTGACTCAACTGTGTATAAAGGTCACAATTATCTGACAGCCTCAGTATAAAGGATAATGATGTGATCAACTTAGAAAATAGGACATCAACAACAATGATACTGAACTTCAGTATTAAATACTTCTAGAAATTGAATACTCCAAGGAAAAACCCAAATGTGTCACAAGGCTATGAAGAATTTTAAAGATTTACATCTTCATGATGTACTTCATTGTCTCCAAGTACCCACAGATTAAGTAATTTCACTTGCATTGTGTCTTTCCTTGATGCAGTTTTTGAAATATGTGGGGAGCAATAACCAACAACAGGAACCAATAAATGGCCTGTGCGTGGAAGGTAAACTGACTTTTATAGCTAAACTGGATGGAAATATCATGAAACAGCTTTCTATTTATGAGAAATGAGAGGGCCAATGATAATGGCCGACTGATCCCTTAGCGACAGGCCATTATCAGTTCTGTTATCAAATACGTCACAGCAGGTGACGTCACGCTCCATAATGACATCACACCATAACAACGTCATGACATCATAAATCTTATTCCATGACTTAACAGTGTTGGGTCAACAGCCATTGCGAGTTGTTTGAAGTAAACTTACAATTAAATTTATGATACTGTTTTGTCATTTTTTAACACAAATATCATCCATTTTAGCTATAATAGTGGTAATGCTGTTGCAGAAGCCCACTGTCTTTAAAACGGCCCTAGTTAGGCGGTTAATTGAAGACCTAAGCCTTCTGCAAATGATAATGCCCTGAAAAACTGTGTTGCCCGTATATCGCGTTCTTCTTGCTGATTACTTCTCGACTGATCTCATCATGACGTGAATCACATCAGGTAGTTTCATAAAAAAATACAAGATAAAAAGAACAAATGAATCCTGCCTCAATTGTTCGGAAAATATAAATCAACATATCACAATTAAGTTATTGTAGCCTATTATTGCTGTATCCTCATTTTCCTAGTGTATTATAAATCGTGTATACAAAATATATACAGGCGTTTATCATGTTACTATGACTACCTTAGACACTGTATAAACAAGGATGGTTGCTGCTACATCAGTAGTTGAGGTAGTTCTCATTGTTTCTGCTACAACTAGAAACAGGAAGCATGTAGACCCCAAATCAGGCATGTTTGAGAGCTGCTTTCTGACTCAGGGGAGACAACTTGTCCTTGTTAGACTTAACGAAGGTCTTCACAGCTGCAGCATTTGTCCTGAAATGATTTCGGAGAGCCCAGCCTATTGCCTTCCTGATGAAGAAGTCTTCATCATCTGCACACATCAGACAGTATCTGTTAACACAGAAGACAGCAGGTTGTAACATGTCAGTGAGCACCTGTTTTGTGTCTGGAAATCATGTAACAATCTGTCCAACCTATTGGCAAGCTAGTCGGGGATATGTCCCCAGTACATCATATGTGAAGAATCCACTAAAACAGACATTATAGCCACACTGAGCACTCCGATAAACTGGAGGAATTGCAACAATACTTTTCTTTAGCCCACTTAAACCACAGGAATCAAGGAGGTGAAATGGGCTTTTAATGTTGCATTCCAGATTATTGTACTTATGTAGTGATGTGAGACTATGTGAGCGTGCATGCCTGCATGTGTGTCCCTCTAGCTGGGTACAGGTCCACACTTGCGTGTTGCACAGTGCTAGCCCATCAAGACTCCACAGTTGAACATGGAAGCCCACTGGGGCAGGGTAGCACAGTGGTTAAAGCATTTGCTCATTAAGCCGAAGGCCTGGGTTCGATTGCCCACATGGGTACAATGTGTGAAGTCCATTCCTGGTGTCCACTGCCGTGATGTTGCTGGAATAGTGCTAAAAGTGGCATGAAACCTCACTCACTCACTCACGTACGCCTACTGACACACATATAATGACAAGCTGACCAGTCCAGCAAGGTCACAACATGTGCCATCTCTTCACAACTTATAATATGACCACTGATCTAACCACTGACCTGGGGCGGTGGGGTAGCCTAATGGTTAAAGCATTGGCTCGTCACGCCGAAGACCCGGGTTCGAATCTCCACATGGGTACAATGTGTGAAGCCCATTTCTGGTGTCCCCCGCCGTGATGTTGCTGGAATATTGCTCAAAGCGGCGTAAAACCAAACTCAGTCAGTCAGTCAGTAACCACTGACCTGCTCTCTGGGTCCAATGCTCTACACCATGCAGGCACATCTGAACCACAGGTATTATTAGGGGTTATGAGTAAGTGAGTCCCATTTACTGACATATCCCTTCCGTATTTGTGTGACAAAAGTTTCCTTAAGAGAGAGTGTATGAAATACTTACTGGAAGAGGAGTTCCTGATTTGTTTTCTTTTTGTAGTTGAGTTGATGAAGAATGGCGGTCCGTCTCAGCCACAGGTTCTCATCCTGAACCCACTCCTCCATGACTGGGGTGAGGGACGTCCGGTGTGCTGCCACCAACTCTCCAACCACTACAGTAACAAGAGGCATCACATCAGGTACACTTCAACACAAAACTAAATGGGATCATGTTTGGCCTGGACAAACAAAGTACAACCATTAAAGTGGTCCATCATCATCTGACTATGGTCATCGCCAAAATTGTTAAATTAGCTGTCTCAATCAGAGTTATTTGTTCTTGTTTGAAACTTCTGACAGACCAATCAGAAATGAAGTACAAATAAAATTCACAAATTGATTATAACACATACCAACTAAAGTAGGTGCCTCAACACAAAAAAGATGTTCCACTGAAAATGGTTTATTGGAAATTGTAGAGTCCTAACATATCAATTAAGTCAACATGAATTTATGTACAAATCTGAGAGTACCATTAGCAGCTAGCATGTCCACTGTGTCCCACCAGCTCTTGGTGGTGATTAGTTCCTTGACCACCATGAGGGACTTCAGACTGTCATCAGCACTGTGTCCACACAACACTTTAATGTACTTTTGTGAGCAGTCCAGGCCAAACATTTGATACTCCCTCTCGGGTTCTTTCCATAGGAGTTTCAGGAGTTGGTGGAGTTGGGCCTGGTTGAACCCTGAGCAGGAGGACAGCACCTGGAAACATAGGGAGAGGCTACTGGAGACTCAACACTACATGGCCTGTAGATAGGTGGCTGTAGCCTGGAGACTCAACAATACAGGGCCTGTAGACAGGGAGACAGGTGGCTGTAGCCTGGAGACTCAACACTATATGGCCTGTAGATAGGGAGACAGGTGGCTGTAGCCTGGAGACTCAACACTATATGGCCTGTAGATAGGGAGACAGGTGGCTGTAGCCTGGAGACTCAACAATACAGGGCCTGTAGATAGGGAGACAGGTGGCTGTAGCCTGGAGGCAAGGCTACAGGGCCTGTAGATAGGAGACAGGTGGCTGTAGCCTGGAGACTCAACAATACAGGGCCTGTAGATAGGGAGACAGGTGGCTGTAGCCTGGAGACTCAACACTACAGCGCCTGTAGATAGGGAGACAGGTGGCTGCAGCCTGGAGACTCAACACTATATGGCCTGTAGATAGGGAGACAGGTGGCTGTAGCCTGGAGACTCAACACTATATGGCCTGTAGATAGGGAGACAGGTGGCTGTAGCTTGGAGACTCAACAATACAGGGCCTGTAGACAGGGAGACAGGTGGCTGTAGCCTGGAGACTCAACACTATATGGCCTGTAGATAGGGAGACAGGTGGCTGTAGCCTGGAGACTCAACACTATATGGCCTGTAGATAGGGAGACAGGTGGCTGTAGCCTGGAGACTCAACAATACAGGGCCTGTAGATAGGGAGACAGGTGGCTGTAGCCTGGAGGCAAGGCTACAGGGCCTGTAGATAGGGAGACAGGTGGCTGTAGCCTGGAGACTCAACACTACAGGGCCTGTAGATAGGGAGACAGGTGGCTGCAGCCTGGAGACTCAACAATACAGGGCCTGTAGATAGGGAGACAGGTGGCTGCAGCCTGGAGACTCAACAATACAGGGCCTGTAGATAGGGAGACAATTGGCTGCAGCCTGGAGACTCAACAATACAGGGCCTGTAGATAAGGAGACAGGTAGCTGCAGCCTGGAGACTCAACAATACAGGGCCTGTAGATAGGGAGACAGGTGGCTGTAGCCTGGAGACAATGCTACAGGGCCTGTAGATAGGGAGACAGGTGGATGAAGCCTGGAGACAATGCTACAGGGCCTGTAGATAGGGAGACAGGTGGATGAAGCCTGGAGACAATGCTACAGGGCCTGTAGATAGGGAGACAGGTGGCTGTAGCCCGTAGACTAAACAATACAGGGCCTGTAGATAGGGAGACAGGTGGCTGTAGCCTGGAGGCAAGGCTACAGGGCCTGTAGATAGGGAGACAGGTGGTTGTAGCCTGGAGACTCAACACTATATGGCCTGTAGATAGGGAGACAAAAGGATGTAGCCTGGAGACTCAACACTACAGCGCCTGTAGATAGGGAGACAGGTGGCTGTAGCCTGGAGACTCAACAATACAGGGCCTGTAGATAGGGAGACAGGTGGCTGTAGCCTGGAGACTCAACACTACAGGGCCTGTAGATAGGGAGACAGGTGGCTGTAGCCTGGAGACAATGCTACAGGGCCTGTAGATAGGGAGACAGGTGGATGAAGCCTGGAGACAATGCTACAGGGCCTGTAGATAGGGAGACAGGTGGATGAAGCCTGGAGACAATGCTACAGGGCCTGTAGATAGGGAGACAGGTGGCTGTAGCCCGTAGACTCAACAATACAGGGCCTGTAGATAGGGAGACAGGTGGCTGTAGCCTGGAGACTCAACAATACAGGGCCTGTAGATAGGGAGACAATTGGCTGCAGCCTGGAGACTCAACAATACAGGGACTGTAGATAAGGAGACAGGTAGCTGCAGCCTGGAGACTCAACAATACAGGGCCTGTAGATAGGAGACAGGTGGCTGTAGCCTGGAGACTCAACGCTACAAGGCCTGTAGATAGGGAGACAGGTGGCTGTAGCCTGGAGACAATGCTACAGGGCCTGTAGATAGGGAGACAGGTGGATGAAGCCTGGAGACTCAACACTACAGGGCCTGTAGATAGGGAGACAGGTGGCTGTAGCCTGGAGACAATGCTACAGGGCCTTTAGATAGGGAGACAGGTGGCTGTAGCCTGGAGACTCAACGCTACAAGGCCTGTACATAGGGAGACAGGTGGCTGTAGCCTGGAGACAATGCTACAGGGCCTGTAGATAGGGAGACAGGTGGCTGGAGACTCAACAATACAGGACCTGAACACTGGGGACAGAATGCTGTGGTTTGGAGTTATACATACCTCCTTACTAGCTTCCCTTCTGATCGGGCTCATCAGACCAAAAAAGGCAAACTGATCTCTCATGTATTTTTTCATTTTTTGGGCAGCTGTTTGGTTTCTGTGTGCTTTGAAATTTTCACCAAGTTTAGCAACAAACATCTGTGGTGTAGGGGGGGAAAGCACTGCCTGTGTACTCTCCACATCTTTCTTCTTCCCCCCATTTCCCCTGGCAGGCCGAGCTTTCAGGGACTTTGCCACTTCTGCTGTCTTCTTTATGGATGACCTGGATACTTTCGGCATATCTATATATTCTGGAAAAAAATGGGGAATTCATTTCTGTTTCTTTTTATTTAGGAAAAATAACAAAACATTTTTGATAAAAATGATATACACAGGTACATAAACATCTTATAATATATATAGGTACTAATAACAGATTACATTTGAAGTTGAGCATGATCTCACTACTTCCTATTATTTGCTGGTGTACCCCGTCATGATGTTGCTGGAATATTGCTGAAAGTGTTGTAAAACAAAACTTACCCTGTCACTTTTATTTGAATGTTTATTTAATGTGGTTATCTCCCTTTTGACAGACAGTCAGTTGACAGACACTGAAGTAGAAGGTCAATTAGGGTAACACCTACGGGTATAATGGAGCAGTCCACAGTCCACTGGCTAGTGAGTAGAGTTGGGTGAGTCTAAGACAGGTTCGTTACTGAGAAGTTTCATTGTGGGTAAATAGAACTTTGTTGTGATTAAATGATAAGCTGTCTTCTCTTCTCAAAATTACTCAGTTACTATCGAATATAAAAACAGGTTGGTCACTGAGAGGTTTGATTGTGTTTATTGATTGCAACATATTTTATTCATTCAAGAAAAGGATTGAGCACAAGTTATCCAACTTAGAAAAGCCCTCTCCCAATAATAGAATATCAATGTTTTAATTTTAACAATACTTTCTAAAGATTGTAACAGGTTATGTCAGTCTAAGTAAACTTAGGCTCAGTATTATTAGTTACACTGCTATACTGAGTCTCAGTATAGCAGTGTAACGAATAATACTGAGGCTAAGTTTACTTAGACTGCAGTTTATGTCTTTGAATAGTATACAACGAACATTCAAGGAAGTAATGGCCACGTTGACATGATGCGTCATTTTTAAAATATTTATAATTCATAATTAAGTGTACTTGTCATATATCTTAATCTTGTGTGCAAAACATTTAACTTCTTTATTCCATATGAATAATATTTAGGTACACATTTTTCAGATATAAGATTTAAATGATGCAACAGAGTCACTATTTCTAACAGCTAAGGGGATATCATTCCACATTTTAACTGCTGATGGAATAAAAGATGATGTTGAGTACCTCAGTCTTGTACATGGTTGGCTAAAAATATCCAAGTTTCTTAACTCATAGATTGTCCGGTTGACTAGTACAGGTGGGAGTTAAATCCTGAAGAAAAACTGGTGTTGTTCTATTTAGTAGGAACTTTAATTTCTGAAATGCTCCAATAATTCTACATGTCTTCTTGACAATGTTTTCAATGTGATGATGACAACTCCCGTTAGACGATAAGGTTAAACCGAAATGTTTATGAAAATCAACTGTTTTTAAATATTGCAGCAATCAAAATTCAAATTAATGTCTTTTCGGCCATATTTCATAAATAATATAGTTTCAGCTTTTTTCTTGTGTTTTTATTTGGACTATTCCATTAAAATGTGTAGGTAACAGGGAGTAGCTAATCTGTTCATTGAACCGTAAATGTTGTTGTTTCATAGTGTCTGCAAACTGCCTGTCTGCGTAATGGGAGGACACCTTTAATGTTATAAGACTATAAATTGAGAAAACATAATGTGTCACTCGTATAGTACATTGGTCAAGGATTCTCAAAATACATTTGATAGATGATACAGCATTCCTTTAATAAAGGATATATATTCTTCTAAATTAATGTTTCCTTCCAACATAGTTGTTTTACTTCATGGCGATACATAAAAAGACTTAACTGTTCAAGAACAATTCTAGTTCAAATGTGACTTCATGTTAGGCTCGAACCCCACACATCCAAACTGATTCATGTTTCGAACCTGAAACGTCATGATTGGGTTATCTCCCTTACAATGTCTGGCCAAGAATTTTAGCCTGCCATGATCTTGTCTCCCTCCACACCACGTGCTTTACATGTCAGCACAGTGCCAGTGCATGTGTCAATGTGTAATAATTCCTCACTAGGTGTCATTTCTGTTACAGCCATGCGCCTACCTTGCTAAAATGCCTATTGGGTTAGGGGCACGTAGGCTGAACTAGAACATGTGCATCTGAGTACCATTCAGTCGATCAAATTTAGAATGACACTGCTTCAATACACCTTCAACATTATGGATTCACATTCAGCCTTTAACTTACTTCGAGATGAGTATATTTCCCGCTTTTGTTGACCCGGAAGTTATCGCTAACAACTGAAAGCCTGACCGGCCTTGCCCTACATAACCGGGGAAAATAAGCCAGGGAACGCTTCACAAACCACTTCCCTGGGTTAGCACGACATTTACAAAGTCAAAATCTGAGAACTCCTCCGATCTGTCCACTCGTGACGGCACATGCAGAAGTAGCAATCTGATGTCTCCTTCACAAATTAATTTGAACGGAGAAAAGTAAGGCAAGCACTATAACATATAATTTGTCGTTAATGCCCAAACAGAGACCATATAATAGATTAGATTATTTATTATATGGACTCTGGCCCAAAAGACAAGATTTATTATTGTGTCAAAGATTTTAAAGAACATATATTGAAAAAATTGCCGATAAATCTGAGGCTCGTAATCCTGGGTTACTCATACTTGGGTTACCCCAAATAGTTTGTTTCTTCAGTACACTATGAACAGTGTAATATACGTGAGTATAACGTATCCGTAGCCACGTGGTTAAAGAATCTGGGTTCGAATCTCCATTCGGGTACATGGTGTTATATAAGTGATTCTGTTAATACCGGGGGCTGTTGGGTAGCCCTGTGGTTAAAATGTTCGCTCGTCATGTCGAAGACCCGGGTTCGATTCCCATCCTGTGTACAATGTGTGAATCCCCTTTCTGGCGTCCCCCGCCGTGTTATTGCTGGAATATTGCTAAAAGCGCCGTAAACCCAACTCACTCACTAACTTTAATGCTCTTGTAAGTTATCACTCCAGATTTACCCCGAGAACACACGGGTGAGAACCAATCTACAGTCCGTTTGAGTCAGAAACGGACCGATGAATTGCAAATTTTATCATTGTACAAAATTGCCACATAAATATAAATAGTACACATGTTTATCATTTACTAATACCCAATAGCTTTCTAATATTTGAATTTTTTCCGGACTCCACCCAAAAAGTTCTTTAAGAAACTATCATTAAAATTTTGACAGTTCACTATTTGTTACGAGGGAGGAGTGCAGAAAAAGGGACAGCCAGGTGTTAGAGAAGCACGTGCACAAGTGCCCACCAAGTTATTGATTCATTAGCCTGTGCTGTTCCATCTCCATCCTTTCTCGCACACCTGGCTGTCCTTTTCTCTGCACTCTTCATAGTAAAAAAAATATATATATAATGAAAAGGAGCCCTGAGACTTTCTTCATTTTCAGATTGGTACAGACCCTGAAGCTGAGGAAATCTAGACTTGCCACATTTTCTAGACTTGTGTGGGCTTTCTTGGATATATTTGCTTCAGGGTCTGTACGAGAGACTAACACATTGGCTACGATCAAAGTTAGAATTCTTAGGGCTACCAACGTTTCGTGAATAAGGGCTTGCTGGTTGTTCAGGCTCGATGGCTTGGCGGTTTAAGTGTCATGGTAGCGAGACGCCGTGAGAAGTTACACACTACCACATCGCTGGACCAAACTCGTTTGTTTACATGCCGCCGTCCATGACGTAATATAAAAATGCAGTCATACTGTATGACTTTTTGTGTATTTAACGCTGTGAGTTTCAGATTGTACATGTGTCAATGTATTGACCTCAGTGATGGGTATATATATTTTCTCTCGTCTCAGCTTGATGTGGGACCACCATGGGTGATATGCAGGCCACGTTCGCTAAATCCATTATCACAGGTAAAAAGCTGACATACCTAAAGTCTCATGTAATCAGGGCGAATTCAGGATTCGAACCCATAATGCCAGGATAGCGGCACGCTTGAAGGGAGGCAACTCTTGAAATAGAACTGAGGGCCGTAGATATAAGGTTGAGTTGAGCTGAGGTGAGTTGGGCTTTACGTCACATCGGCATTATTCCAGCCATATAGTGACGAGAACAAGTCTGCATTAATATACATTGTAAGTACAGAGTCAAAATGAGTTCTATTTCAAAAACATATATGCAATACATTGTCATTTAAAAACAGAAAAAGTCATAGCACTAAATTCGTAGATATAAGAGCCACCTTTGCCCCGATACATTTCTATATACAATGGAAAGATAAAAGTTAGCAACTTATTTCTATATTAAGAAATGTTTTCAACAATATGCCAACGAGGTTGAAAGATTGATGTTATCAAGACAAAACGTACATGGAGGCCGTTTGTATATCAGTACATCAGTATATACCGTAAGTGGTGACAGCAAGCTTCAGCAGTATTGTCTCCATTGAAGACTTTAAACACACTGCATGGTGACTGAAGGCGCTTACCACAGGGAACCGAATGCTGTTTTAAGCCGCAACCAGACATTTGTATATAAACAAACCAGTTATTTACAAAATGGGTAATATAATACACGCTGTTCAGTAGCAAACACGGACACGTACACCTCGCCATTTTCTGTTCTGACTGCAAACTCTGAACGACGCTCCTGTCAACCACAAGTTTGTATGGCCCAGTCTCCATTATGTGCAGGCACCGCCTCCGTGGTGTAGTGGTTAGAGCGTCCGCCCGGAGTGCGGAAGGTCGCGGGTTCGATCCCCGACTGCGTCATACCAAAACACGTTAAAAAAAGGTACTTGTTGGTCCCTGCCTGGCGCTAGGCATTAAAGGGTACAACAAGGACTGGTAGGCTCGGAGTCAGTATAATGTGTCTGAGTGGGATATTCATGCTTTACTGCGGCATGGTATCACAGTGGGCTAGCACTATAAAACCAGCTTAAGTCTGGGCTAGTACAAGCAGCCGCACATCCACATACACACGCATGCACGTCGTCACATGAGCGAAATATTCTCAAGCACGACGTTAAACCCAATTCCACCACCACCACCATTATGTGCAGGCCCATGTGATGCAGCCCTGCTTATTGCTGAATGCAGCTTCATCAAACCACCCCGCTCCATCCCCATCACCTTGGCCTCTTACATACATGAATTTATTCAGATTCCATCGGCTTTGTGAGGCAATTTTATGACCCCACTGTTCATATGGTGAAATCCCCATTACTGGTAATGTTGCTTGAGTGGTCCCATATCGGACGTAAGTGAATGACTGCTTGATGCAGTTTACGTTTATCCCGTAGTCGGCACAGGACGAAATGGAGCGTTCAGAAATGGCCTCAGCTAATGGCCCCTATAATCCGTCTTTGCAGGTGAGGGACGCCGGGTGCCCCAATTTCCTGCGAGTCGCAGACACAAAGAGACCAATGGCGTCACGTTGTCTGGCACTGTCCAAACACACTGACCACTGGCATGATGGACGATGTTTCAAGTCTCGTCCAGATTAGCTCTGTTCTAGTCAGCTGTAATTATTTCTTCCTCAGCTGATACCATTCAGTGCATTGTTATTGGTAAATACAATCCCACTGTTGGTGAATGCGCTTTTTCGTAGGTGCGATATCTGACGTAAAGATTATGACGATAAATTCTTGTGTTGACAGCAACAACAAAAATATTATTTCACATCACTGACAAGTGCTCGACATAATCGTTTTTAAGTAAAGGAAGTTATAGATATTGTAGTATGACGGTAACGACTGAACGAGCGACCTCGTACACTATCAACAATAGCACTCGTCGTTGTTGTCGCTGCAGCAATCGCAGACATCGTCGTATGTAAAGAGTAGCAGTAGGAGCGCAGTAGCAGATAATGACGTATTAGAGGCAAGAGCATGAATGAATGAACAAATATTGCTTTACGCCGCACCATCAATCAATTCGCCGCGATAGAGGCGAGTGAAACTGAAGTATATATATTGGTGTTGTAGCAGAGGCTGCATGAGTAGTAGAACTTTGCAGTAGCAGAAGATTATGTGTCAGGAGTAATAGTAGCAGTAGCTGAGGCTGCTACAGGAGTAGTAGTAGCAGTAGTAGTAGTCTTGGTAGTACTTATGACATCGACACTAGTAGCAGTAGTGGACCTAGTGGTAGTAGCAGTAGTAGTAGTCGTACTAGTACTTCTCACATCAACACTATTAGCAGTAGTAGTAGTACTAGCAGCAGCAGCAGTAATAATAGTAACGGTAGTAGTAGCAGTAGTTGTAATAAGAGCAGTAGACTAGTAGGACATCGTCATCGTCATCAGCAGCAGCAGCAGCAGTAGTGGTGGTGGTGGAAGAGATAGTATTAGTATTTTTATCCCCCGCCGCGCGTTTAGCGCGAAGCGGGGGATATAGTTTTAGGCTCCGACCGTCCGTACGTACGTATGAATTGGAATATCTTAAGAACCGTTCTCTAGATTCTTTTCATATTTGGTACCTAGTTTCATCACGGTATAAGAAAGGTCCAACTCATGTTTGGTTACCTTGACCTTCATTTCAAGGTCACAAGGGGACTTTTTTAACATGTTACCTGCATGTTAAGCTATATCAAGAACCGTTCACTGGATTTTCCCAGTCGATTTTGGTGACCTTCACTTAATTTTCAAGGTCATGGCGACACTTTGAAGATTTCAGCATATCAACCTACACGTTATGCTTGTCAGCGAGATACTTCAAGAACCATTCACTGGAGTTTCTTCATATTTGATACCAAGCTTCATCCAGGGAAGGCGCAGGACCCAGTCGATTTTGATGACCTTCACTTAATTTTCAAGGTCATGGCGACACTTTGAAGATTTCAGAATGTAAACCTGCATGTTAAGCTATCACCAGAACGGTTCACTGGATATTCTTCATAGACTTTTTTAAGACTTCTCTTGAATGTTTTTCAATAAGCAATTTCTTTAGTACTAGTTTTGCATATTTCATACACTATGACATTCATGTCAAGGTCAAAGTCAGTCTTGAAAATATGTGTGTTTGAACAACTAAAGAGCCAGATATCAATCAAGAGAGGTTGATTAGTCATGTTTTTGTTGACATTTAACTTCATCTTAAACTTTCATTACTTTATAAGTTTGATTTGATAATTTGCGGCGGGGGATTATGTCACCTTAGTGACAATGCTGGTTGTATTTAATTTAGTAAATACAATAATGTACTAGTTGTCGCCACAGTAACAGCAAGCCATCACCAAGTTACGTGTCATTATTAAGTGTTGTATTGTTCTATGTGGCTGGATGACAGTGTAAGGGTATTAACATACTTACCATTGTTCGCATACCTACACAGACAA